ACACACACACACACACACACATAAATTAATAACTAATACAAGGATAATGGATTAAAAGCATTTAAGAGCATTATAATTATAATTCTAGTGAAAATATGAAATCCCCCCAAAAAATTAAAAATTAATTTAATTTAAAAAAATTGAATGTGAAAGTAAGTTTAGACGTCTTACTGCTACATCTTGTCACATTTGAATAAAAAAATCTACAAATTTGTGTTACACAAGTGTAAGCAGTCTTAAAATTTTGTGTCATAGCTATTACTACATAAATATATACACACTATAAATAACTTTTCTTTAGAATGAGGAATGTCACATGTCACATATACAATAGAATTCATCTCTATATATACACACACACATATAGTAAACATTGATTATTGATTATGAAAAACTGAATGAATGCTCTAATGTACAACACTTACGCACATGCAGATGTGCTTTAAAGCAACATCATTTTTGTGGAATACAGTGCATGAAAACCCTACAGTCTTTCTATAATACGTCTTTTAGATTAACAGTAACACCCATGATGCACAGTATTAGATATGCTGATCTGAAAACAAATGTAGGATTGGCACATCACTAATAACTCCTGCTGTAATATTGTCATACTCGATGAGCTCCTCCCAGCAGAGCAGATACGGATCCAGCAACACGTCAGAGGCGGGGCCGAGGGCGGAGCTTAGCTGCAGCAGGAGGCGGGACACCTGGAACCTTTGTCCAGCGCACTCTCCGATGATGTCACTTCCTCCGAGCTCCTCAGAGATCATCACAGTCAGAGTCAGCGACGTGAAGGACTAAAGCGTCACGTTCAGTCTCGTGATTCTCAGCTTGAACACGCTTAGGCAAGGCCTCGCAGAGAACAGGGAAAACAAGGGAACACACGGTCCCTCAGGCTGGAGGGGTTTGTGTGTGAGGTCAGGTCAGACACAGAGAGCTGAGAAACAGCAGCTCCATTCGGCTGAAATCTGAATCTGATTAGAGTCAGCAGACAGGATACAAACTGAATTTAAGTAGAATTAAAATAGAACATGCACAGAAATAAAACACTTAACTACTACACTTACAGTGATTACAGTATTACCTATGAAGACGTTCTCACACACACAACATATGGAGTATTTCCAGACAGCAGGGTTATTATTGTTCACCAAATCTAAAACGATTAAATTTTTTTTGTGCTTTAAATATAATAAACTTTAACTGAAATAAAGTTTAAATTTTTTATACTTTTTATAATTTTTTTTCACTTTGATTCAGTTTAACTTAAAGTACTAAAATAATTCAAACAAATAATTAGTAATTAATAAAAATTGTAATAAATAAAACTATATAGACATATTTAAAACTAATAAAATGACAAAAACAAAATTGCTGAAACTAATAAAAATGAAAATAGAAAATTTATTAATTTAAAATATATATAATATATATATAGTATATATAAAGTTATCAATGTAAATTCAAATCTGTTTGATTGCTGTTGATTGTATTGACAGTACTGAACTAAGAAAACTGTCTAATCTATAAGAAAAAATTAATCAACATTTTGGATTCAGTTTATTGATTTTTACATACATACAGCAGCAGTCTGCTGGACTAATGAAATTCCTCCTGTGTGACTGTTCAATTTCACAGCTGCAATTCATTAAAATCTTCTTCCCATAATTCCATTTAAAATTCCATTTGGCCACTTGAGTTCTGACACACACACTCTCACACACACACACACACACACACACACACACACACCACCTCAGCTTTGATTTTTATTTCATATTTGATATGACATACATTGTTTAAACATCATATGTGCTACAGATTGACAAACTGTTTTCATATTTGCACACAAACATGACAGATGTGTTCACTAAAGGTCCTCATAACCAGAGCAATCCACCCGCCCACATCACTGCAGAGGGTGGGGCTTATCACTGACGGACTGACTCTCTGCCGTCTGATTCTGAAACACAATAAAAAAATAAATAAATTGTAATAATAATAATAAAAAAATATCTATAAATATTATAATTTATATTATAAAATTCTGGAAATATTTTTGGATTATGCAATTTAACATGATTAATAAAACATAATAAATAAACACAGTGTTAAAATATAAATAAATAAAATATTGTTACAGTAAACTTTTAATGAATATTCGCCATTATGTTTATATGGAAAATTATAACTGAAATTAGCTCCAAGCATTCATATAAGTCTTAAGACTTAAGGTTTTGATGTAATAATATATATGTATTTTTTCTTTGGTCATTTTAGTTTATTTTTTCCTGTTATTTTCTCTTCTCTTTTTTTTTAAAATTCATTTACACTTTATTGTAATTTCTGTAATAATAGTTTTACTATTTTATCATTTAGAATAAAAAAAAACATTTACATTTTTTATACATTTATTTAAGAAGGGTGTTTTACAAATAAAAAACATTATTATTCCACAAAAAAAATACCATGGTATGGATATTATGTACAGTATATATGTATGGTTTTTTAATTTTTTTATTTTATTGCCATACCAGCATCTATAGCTATTTTCATGGCGAGATTAATGTATTTTAAAAGAAACAAATAGTAGCCTATTAACATGCAATAGTAATTAAAATAGAAAAAAATTGACAAACCAACTCACACCAGTACAACAAATATTACATATTTTTTTCCCATTCCAATTTTGATACAAAAAAAAAAGTAAGATTATTCCTGGTGAAACATTTTTAAAAACATCCATTAGAGTAAAAACGTCGCCTAGTGCTATTACAACAAAATATGCTTTATTGGTACAGTGGTCAAATCATATCACATGGTACTTTGATATATACTATGATATCTGGGTAAACAATAACATTTTAATTTTAAATGAATTGATTTATACTTAATGGTTTGATTTGCTACAGTGTGTGTGTTCAGTCTGTGTCTCACCTGTCGTCCTCGTCCCCTGAACACGGTTTTCAGTCCCGTGTGCGCGGGGACGTGTTTGAGCGTGGGTGGTTGTTTCAGTTCATTTAGTAACTCTGGGTTGCTCAAACCCACTGCAGGACAAAAACAGACAGAACGATTCTCACAATGCAACCAGAAACACACAAACCCCTGCATCAACAAACAGCAGTGGCCAACTAACAGGAACATTCTCAGAACGCTCTGGGAAAGTTCTGAACAAACATTCTTCCTGTAACATTAATGGAACGCTCATTCAAAGCTATCTGGACTTTAATAATGTTAGCACAGAAATATTATGTCTACATTGTTTATGGAACATTTTTCTGGAACAATTTAGAAAAGAGAACATTCAAAACCAAGCATGTTTGCATAGAAATAAAATGGAAAGTTCCCCTTAATGTTTACATTAATGCTCACACAACCAAGAAAATACATTTTAAACTTAAAAAAAAAAAAAATCGCAGTTTTTAACATTTAGAAATAACGTTTTGACTCACTCAGCCGTTCAGTGGACACTGGCGGGGAGGGCGTGGCTTTGTTTGGAGTTGTGGGCGGAGTTACATGACAAGTCTGTCATAGAGAGAAACCAGTTGAAATCATTGTTTATTTCATGTTTTTTTTTTTTTATTAAGAGAGTTTATCTTACCTTACTTTCTTCCATCGCTAGCCAACCATGTGCTGTTCTGATGGATTCAAGTTATAAATGAAGCATCGGACAGATGACGCGTTTACTTTCCCTCACTTTCCCGCTTCAGCATCAAGTACTAAAACACTCAACTTAAGGGTGCTAAATAGTTATTAGTTACTGTATTTTTATATCTAGGCCTATATTAGATCCAGTCGCTGTGAGAAACTTGCTGCTTCGCCGTTCACCAACCTTTAAGTCGCATTTCTGCAGCAAAATTAATCATTCACTTGCTTTATAGCTCTAAAGTCCACCGAAAACACCTTGAAAAAACACTGTATTACACAGTTTGGAGAAATACTGCAACTTGTTTCACCCCAGTCTTAAAAACACTAATAAATAGGTCAGGGAAAGATCTGTGAAACACAGAAACAGTGATAGCACATGTAGAAGATCGCTTTATCCGCTGTGTACAAACATCTGATAGACGTCTTTAAGATGTCAGTGTTACATTCATTCTAAATCATAAACATCTTAAAGACATCTTCTAAACGTCTATTTGACATCTGATAGGAAACGTCCTATAGACGTATTGCAGATGAACAAACACTCTAAAAAATACGTCTTGCAGATGTAATGCTATACGTTTCCTATCAGATGTCAAATAGACGTTTAGAAGATGTCTTTAAGATGTTTATGATTTAGAATGAATGTAAAACTGACATCTTAAAGACGTCTATCAGATGTTTGTACACAGCAGATGCTTTCTAGATGAAGCGATCTTTAACAGACGTCTTGCAGACGTACCTGTGCTAACTGGGTCCGTGATGCACGTGTGCTATCAAGGATGTTTGAGTTCAGCGAAGCTCAAACTTCAAGCTTTATTTTAACAGTTTGACCATTTCTATAATCAAACACATGAAACGTTTAAAAATGATTCCATATCATATTTGATCCCAAAATCGAGTAAAGTCACATGAGGAAATAAATATTTTAGGCCTGTTTCAGATCTCCCAAACAGTTTGGAGACAAAACAATCTCCAGTGAACTAAATCTGACATTCAAACATTCTTCTTCGGACGACCTGAAATTATTTATAAATACAGATAACGCTTTGTTTTGTGGCTTTGCATTCATTTAAAATAACGTAATTATACAATATGCCCTCATTCACAGTTTAATTATATAACATGCCCTCTCATATAAATAAATGACAGTCACAGAAAGTCAAAATAAGATGTCAGCGTGTGTCTGAGGAGCAGGGCTGCAGGTGCAGTGTCAGCGCCCCCTGGCTGTGGAGCTGCAGAAGCCGCACAAACTCCTCCGGCATTTTGTGCATGTAGCGGTGCGGCTTCATCTGGTCGTAATAATGGTACGGAACGGGAATGTCCTGCAGGTCAGTGTCGAATGGCCAGAATCCGTACACATGCACGTCCTCACACAGTTCCAGCGCCGTGTTAATTAGCATAAACCCAGTGGAGAGGCGGATTGACTTCAGGCCACGCCCCTTCCAGAAACGGTCTAGTGTCCGCAGGTAAATGGGGCTGAAGAACGCCACCGGCTGCTGGGGTCTGATTGGATGGAGGACTTTGAGAGTTTTGATGGACTGTCCAGTGCAGAATGTGTAGGCAAAGGCAGGAATAGCGAGGGAGGCATTTCCGTACACACTGACCCGCTCCACCAGCGGATCCGGATTCTGCTCCAGGTTTTTGAATCTACAGACACACAGATTGAAATAAACACACTTAATCACTACTGACAGAACATAGTAAATGTGTGTTTGCCGGTGAAAATGTTTATTTGGTAGGCCTATTGTTTTACAAAATGCTAACAATAATGGATATGTTTATAGCATTTAATAATGTTGTCTAATGCCAATGAATGTCTACAAACACGACTGTTGTTTTTGAAAATTAATTAAAATATTAATATTAGACAGTGTTGGGGGTAACGTGAGTTACATAATCAGATTACTTTTTTCAAGTAACTAGTACAGTAATGCATTACTTTTTAATTTACGAGAAAATATCTGAGTTACTTTTTCAAATAAGTAATGCCAGTTCCCTTTCAGTCGGTCACTTTCGACATCACGTCGGTGACTGGTGAATTGGGAATCTCGCTAGAGAGACCAATCTACTTTGAGTGTAAACTAAACGAGCCAATGCACATTGGCGTGCGATGATTGCATCCAGCTGCCGCTGATCACAGCGCGAGTATAATTAGGCAGCAGGTGCAACGCATACTCAGCTTTTCGCTTCGGAGCCGAGCAATAACATCGTTTTGATCCTGACTACTTTACTGAGAGAAGAAGACTGAACGAGTTCAGTGTGCTCTTTGGAACTCTTGGTGTTGGCGGTACGGCGCATCAGCAGGGTGGTTTCAGGGTGGGATCAGTTGTGCGAACACAGGGACTTGGTACTCTCGCACCTCAGCCGGTTGGGCCTTCAGGTCAGCTGGGAAAAGAGCAAACTCTCCTGGATGCAGAGGATCTCTTTTCTCGGTATGGAGTTGGATTCGGTCAAACAGACAGCACGCCTCATGCAGGAACGTGCTCAGTTGTGTTGAACTGCCAGAATACGTTCAAGAGCAGGACGGCGGTCCCACTGAAACAGTTTCAGAGGCTCCTGGGGCATATGGCAGCTGCAGCGGCAGTCACGCCACTGGGGCTGCTTCATATGGGACCGCTTCAACACTGGCTCCATGGCCAAGTCCCGAGGTGGGCGTGGCAATGCGGCACTCACCAGGTCCAAGTCACACCATGCTGCCGCCAAACCTTCACCCCGAGGTCAAACCTTGCATTTCTCCGGGCTGGAGTGCCCCTGGAGCAGGTCTCCAGGCATGCTGTGCTTTACACGGATGCCTCTACCACTGGCTGGGGGGCCACGTACGACGGGCATGCAGTTTCGGGGGTTTGGACGGGCCCCCAACTGCCAGGAGTGCCCCTAGAGCAGGTCTCCAGGCATGCTGTGGTTTACACGGATGCCTCTACCACTGGCTGGGGGGCCACGTACGACGGGCATGCAGTGTCGGGGGTTTGGACGGGCCCCCAACTGCCTAGAGTTGTTAGCAGTACGCCTTGCCTTGAACCGTCTCAGAAGGTGCATACGAGGGAAGCACCTGCTGGTCTGAACGAACAACACTGCGACCGTTGCGTACATCAAACGACAAGGTGGTCTACGCTCCTGTCGCATGTTGCAACTCGCCCGCCACCTCCTCTTCTGGAGTCAAAAGCATCTGAGGTCGCTTCTTGCCATTCACATTCCGGGTCTGCTCAACCATGCAGCCGACGAGCTGTCATGAGCTCTGCTCCACGGAGAGTGGAGACTCCATCCCCAGACGGTCCAGCTCATTTGGAGACGTTTTGGAGCCGCTCAGGTAGACCTGTTTGCCTCTCCTGAGACCTCTCACTGCCAGTTGTTTTACTCCCTGACCGAGGGAACACTCGGCATGGATTCACTGGCACACAGCTGGCTGCGGGTCCTGCGCAAGTATGCTTTCCCCCAGTAAGCCTTCTCGCACAGACACTGTGCAAGATCAGGGAGGACGAGGAGCAGGTCCTGCTTGTGGCACCCTTCTGGCAAACTCGGGCCTGGTTCCCGGAACTAATGCTCCTTGTGACAGCCTCTCCCTGGCAGATTCCTCTGAGGATGGATCTACTGACTCAGAGACGGGGCACCCCTTGGCACCCGCGTCCAGACCTCTGGAAACTTCATGTCTGGTCCCTAGACAGGATGCGGAGGTTCTATGTGACCTACCCCAAGAGGTAGTAGACACCATCACTTCGGAGAGAGCACTGTCTACGAGAAGGTTAAATCCTCCCCAGCCCCCATCTATACCCTCTTGGGACCTGACTCTAGTGCTCAGAGCACTAAAGCAGGGCCCATTTGAGCCCTTGCAGTCAGTCGAGCTAAAGTTTCTTTCAATGAAAACTCTGCTCCTGATTGCACTGGCCTCCATCAAGAGGGTAGGGGACCTGCACGCATTTTCGGTCGACGAATCGTGCCTAGAGTTTGGGCCAGCTTACTCCCAGGTAATACTGAGGTCCCGGCCCGGCTACATGCCCAAGGTTTCCACTACTCCCTTCAGGGATCAGGTAGTGAACCTGCATGCGCTACCCCTGGAGGAGGCAGACCCAGCCCTAGCTTTGCTTTGTTCCGTCCGAGCCTTGAGATGGTACGTAGACCGGACACAAAGCTTCAGGACCTCAGATCAGCTATTTGTCTGTTACGGAGGCCGGCAGAAGGGGAATGCTGTCTCTAAGCAGAGGATGGCCCACTGGATTGTGGATGCCATCACCCTGGCTTATCAGGCACAGCGTGTGCCCTGCCCACTCAGATTGCAAGCTCACTCTACTAGAAGTGTTGCATCCTCCTGGGCGCTGGCTCGTGGCACCTCGCTGACAGATATTTGTAGAGCTACGGGCTGGGTGACCCCCAACACATTTGTTCCTTCAGGGAACGAGGGTTACAATACGTAACCAAGATGTTACTTTGTTTTCCCATGTATTGACTGGCAGCTCTCCGGTCCTCATGTTGAGAGAAATCAGGAGTAAATGCAGAGGCGTTGCATGCACTGTGTGAACATGATGACACTGTAGTTCTAGACTAAATGTCAACATGCTTTTACTCATCTCACTCACACAAAACAGAGTATTTCCACAAATTGAATAAAAATGGCGAAATGCAAACTCAGAATATGACATCCCATTTTATTAACCAATGTCTTTACTGCTGACCTTCGGTGATTCAATTCAACCATACTAATAAACAAAAATGACTTTAGATAAACATAACATTTGTGTTTCTTTCTTTTTTTTATTATTATTGCTGAAGAGTGTTGAACTTTCTTCTCCTGCATCCTATTCTTCATGCAATCCAGAACAACAGCACATCAGAAAAGGTTTGTTTAAGTGGTGCCCTCTACTGTACAGACGTGAATTTACATTTCCTGCAGTCTAAGGCTCATTCACTTCACTTTTGGTGTGAAAGGGCTGTTTACATTTGCCAAAAGTAGAACTTTTTATATTTAATAAAAACAAGCAAGCCCAGCCCAGATGAGTCTATTACCAGTCTATCACCACTAGTGTAAAGCTTGCATGTTAGTTTTACACACCTTTATAGAGAGGCAGCGGCTATTTGCATTAAGTGCAAGTAACATATGTAGATGCTGTTTACACTGAGTGACAACAGAAGTATTTTCTTGGCGATATGCTGTTTACACTAAGTTAAAATAGTGATAGATTCTATTTACACTCTGTAAAAGTAGCAGTATTTTCTTTGCAATTAGTGTAAATAGTTTTTTTTTTTTTTTACTATTTATACTTATAAATAGTGTCAGATACTGTTTGCACATCAGTATTGTTGTACATTAACAGGATGCAATAGTAACGTAGAGTGTAAATGATTATATTTATTAAAATTATGACATGGATGCCGCCTTTATTGGGACAATAAAGCCCTCATCCTTAGACCTACCCCTAACCCCGACATACCTCATTATTAACCACTCGTATAAACCACATTTGAAGATACAAGATTGTAGCAAATCAGTTTCCCAAGGATATCATTTAAAGCACTGTTTTTGTTTTACAACCTGACAGATGAGCCAAATCATAACCATAGTGCATAAATTATATGTAATCAGAATACTTCTTTAACAAATTTACAATGCAGTCTGAGCGGAACATGGTTATAGTGTGAAGAACACACACACTTTTATACATATAACTTCAAGAACCTTTTTCCACTATAAAGAATATTTTGTGCAATTTAATAATTTCATGGACGTTAAAGGTTCTTCATGGAACCATTAAAGCACTTTTATTTTGAAGAGTGTACGTAGGAATGCCAATAATGGCTAATGAATGTGCTAAACTTCAGTTAGATTCATTAAAAACAAGAATCCATCTCACTGAGAGCTTTAACTCTAAATCTTTAAATTCAAATCTAAAATGTCCTTGTTTAAATGTTAACTGAACTGGTGTTTATGGACACTGACCGAATCTGACTGGGGTTGATGGTTATCAGATCTGTCTTCAGCCCAACATCACTGTCATTAATCGACGCCAAATTAAACCTGAAACAGAGAGAGAAAACTTCATGTTAACAGGAAGGACGCATGATTACAGACGGATGTGTTGAGGACTCACACACACACCCACACACACACACACACACACACACACACACACACACACACACACACACACACAGATAAGACCAAGGATTTTTTGATAAGGTGATTTCACTTGACAAGGTGAACACACATCCTCTTTTTCCCGAATGTAACCTGTCCAGGGTTTCTATATTGCCCCAGTATCTGGGTTTTGGCTTTGTGTTCCAACAGAGTGCTGCAGACGTCACGTCAAACCCAGAAGACTACTTCACCATGAGTTCCCTCAAAAATTTCCTACGTATTTTTATGGGTTTTTCAACTCATGAGTAAAATAAGGTCTGTGATAAACAAAACTTCACAATACTTAGACGTTTTGTTGTAGAGCGTAAACTGCACACAATCACACCGCAAACGTTCTTATGTAGTTACCAAGGTCTGTGGTATATAGAAATGAATGAAAAGAAACATTTGGAAGCAGTTTATTTAAAAACAAAACGAAACATGTTAATAAGTACAGAATGTTTGGTGTGTGAGTCCTCGTACATCATACCTACACATATTTGCATTGCTTTGACTGTTCTCTGTAGAGCCACGCGTGGTTGATTATATACAATGCCTGCATGCTGTTAGTCAAACTACTTTTCAGTCGTTTAGGCAATTCAGAAATCCTGGCCGGGATTTCATGTCCGTGAGAAAGAGGATGTGTAATCTACAGACCTTATAGGGCTTGAATAGTTTGATAGGTTGTGTCACATTCAGAGGACAACTCTGGCCACAAACTATGAGAACATAAACATTTAAACAAAGAGATAGCTTAAAGAGTTAATGAGTTAGAAACGTGTATTAATAACACACCTCGGGCAGCATGCTGTGAATGGCTGCGTTCATTTTGTATGTTTTTGTTGCGCTTGTCTCATAATGGATGGCCTGATTGACGGCTGTGTTTCGTTTGGTGAGGAATAACGATCCTGTGGACACACAGACAGAGATAAAGTTTATTAGCATTCAGCAGCTTTATAAGTGTCATCTCTGTTAAAATGATCTCAGCATTCAAAGATTTATTGTTTGAACTGTTTTTAACAGCTCGTCTCGTTAAACACACTGACTCTGAACAATAATGTTTTTTTTTGAAAAGCTGCCACATTCACCTCATGAATCTAATCAGATAGAAACACACAGAAATGATAAAGCCGCACACATTTTTTTCATGCTGATTGTAAGGAAACGTCTGCAGTGTTACGTGTCATGGATGCGTTAAATAAAGTAAAATGCGTTACTAAGATTTTAGAATATGATTCTCTTGAAAGCATCAAATCTGTCAAAATATTCAAAGTACACATGAAAATGTGTTCGCAACCCATGTACCAATAGTTATTGTAAACATTTTAGGTTTCTGTGCACAATCTTACACTAACTACACTCTCAAAAATGATAAAGGGAATATTGTGTAGGATCAGGATTATGTCAGTAGGTTTTCATGAATCTAACATCTAAGATAGTCTGCATCATTTGAGAAGATCTGAATATTTCTGTCTACAATATCAAACTCGATCTTAAAATATAAAATAAATACTGCTGGAGCTTCGTCGAGAACTGAGCATATGATGCACCGTTTAAGGAGGTAGTAGTTTTGTGATTTAATGTAGTTCTGAGCATGTTTTAATGATGTTATTCTCTGCTGTTTTTAGCGCTGTGGCTGGATTATTGCTTGTTACTGAGCGTCACAGTCGGAAAATAACAGATGTTAGAGGCATTGTGTTTAGTATTAAGGCTGCTTATGTTTTTAAATGATGTGTAGTATTTATAGTGAGTTTGTTTTATTTTATTGATGAGTTTTCATATTGTAAATTTCTTTGTGGTAATAGACTGTGTTTTGCACGGTTACCGTTTACTTTAGATGTAATACTCTTGTTCTTTCGTTGTGTGGATGTCGGAGCCAGACTGGCAGAGGAGAGATTAGGCCTCAAAGAAACTGGGTTAGTAGTGATTGTTTTAGGATTCTGACTGGTTGTTTGTCTCACTTGCATTGCATTGCACTGTTAATTGCGTTGAGTATTTTTCTTTTGTAGGTTCTATCTTGCCTGGAATTTTTTTACCTCTATAGGTCATGCTATGACATTAACAAAGGAATGTGAGGCATCAAGTTGTTCCTGTGCTTCAACTTTCATCACTCACAACAACTTCACAAGTTTAGACAAAAGCATCTGCCAAAGGCAAAAAAGAGGCACAAACCTGTTCACCTCTCGCTCGGTTGTGTTTGATCTGTACGGGCAGCTCATGAAATCTGATAGCCCCCGCGTGAAACTCTGCAGTTTTACACTGAGAAGGAAACAAAGACATTGAATTATGTTATCAGTGCTCTGAAACGGAAACGTCGCTGCTTCATCTTTGATTCTCACGCACTTTTTGGCTGGTTTGATCATGGAAAACTTGCATCTGAGTTTAGCGCAGTGCATCTGCCGAAGAGCGTCCGTCATCCCATCTCTGAAAGAAAGAACAACGTTTTCAAAGCCACTGAATCATATTTCAATTTGATTGAATTTCTAAGGCACTAAATGATCGACATAATTAAAATTTGCTGTCACACTCAATCTATACGGCATGCCTTCTGTTTAGAGTTGTTAATCCAGTCAGAGCTCTTTTAGTGTAACTGTAGCTGGAGCTTCTCGTGTCAGATCTTGAGTTATTTTTATCAAGTAAGCGTCAGAATAACTGCAGTAATATCTCCAGATGAACTCTTACTGGACTGAAGCTGCTCAGCTTTACTTGATTCTCCATCAATCATGTTTTAGAGTCTCAAATCTGATCCTCAGGATCTTTTGAGGAGCGTTTGTTTCCAGAAGCTTTATTTTCACTGTTCCTCAGCGGAGGAATGATCTTCACAAGCCTCCAGAACATCTCACATCTTCTGAGGAGCCTTTATTTCTTCAGCTCTCAATCACTGCATTATATGTTTGGAGCATTTCAATCTCATCTCACTGAGACAGATTACTGTAGATATAGAGTGACCACTGATATTTAGAGCATTTTCAGTATCTGCTCTACTGTTATAAAGATCTCACTGATTTACATTACAAGCCGTAGAATATCATCATATAAATATCAGCATCTGCAGCAAATTCATATTTTTAGCTCTGTTTGAATCTCTGAATAAAACTGAGCTGTTTTTCCTCCATATTCTCAGTGTATGAGACTATAAGAGCCGATTTTTGTTTATTATAAAAAGAAACAACCAATTTAAAGAAATTTAAATGATTACAAAAACTGCCTACCAAGGTTTTGATGTATAGTGTTTTAAAACTCTGAGTAAGAACAAACACCAAAGGAATTTGAAAAGCTTATAATTTAGGCCAGACTCGACTTACTTTACCTAACCTGAGAATAATAAATAATAGAGTTAAAGGTGTTAAGATCAAAGTACACACCCGTAAACATGGCGCCCAACGCGGGGCATTGATTGGTCGATTCCTGGCCACGGTAGAAACTGTAAAGACTGAATAAACCGTAGGAGAGAAATTGGACAATAAATTAGTAGAAGAGTGAAGAAAGCAGCCAAAACTACTGTTAATGTAAAAAAATACATATTTACTATAACATAATATAATTGAACAACTACCAATGAATCCTTATGAGTACTGAAATTGTAGCATTAAGATTTTATTATATTGTATTCAGTTGTCAAATCAATGGAATTATGTTTTCAATTGCATTATTAAATGAAGTTTACTCATTTACTTAATGTAAAATAACATTTCGTTCTGTTCTGTGTGATTTCTGCTGAAATTCTCGTTTCGAAGAACACACAATGTTAAACAAGACTACACTTTAAACCCTTAAAGTGAATAACATTTCCTCAGCAGGTGACTCACTTTCTTCACGCAGTGGATGACTGAAAAACCAGTTGTAAATTCCCTTTTAAGTAAAGCCACTGCATTAATCTTGACATTCAAGTAATGGACAAATTATTACATCCATGACAACACAAGTACAGTAACATGGCTGTACCAAATGTTTAATAAAATTAACAAGGTTCTACATAAAAAAAAAGTCTTAAAAAGAATTTAAAAAGAAACATCCTCTAACTTTTAACTACTTTTTTGGCTTACACTTCATTTTGACAGTCCCCTTTAGACATTCTACTAACTATAAGTAACTTTGCAACTACATGTCATCTAATTCTCATTCATTTGCAACTACATGTCTACTAACCCTTAGAGTAGACTGTTAGGTTAGGTTTAGGGTTAGTAGAATAGGTTAACATATACTTACAAAGCTTATCATAGTCAGTGTGTTGTATGTTGTGGACCCATCAAAATAAAGTGTTGGCAGATATTAAGCAGACCGTCTACTAATACTCTAATGACTGCTAGTTGACACGTAGTTGCAAAGTTACTTACTGTTAGTAAATTGCCTAAAGTGGACTATCAAAATAAAGTGTTACCCTTTTTTGTCCAGCAAATTTCTTAAGGTGTAAATATTGGTATGGACACAACAAGATTCAACAAGACAAAAAATAATCTTTTTTTTTTTTTTAAATGTTGGATGTACAGAAATTAATTGAGTCCCTGAACAAACAGGGTCAGTCTAAAAAGTAGCAGTCAGTATAGCCCCTTTCGCACCGCAGAGTTCTAGGAACTAAGTTATAGGAACTAGCCAGTCATGTAGTTCCACAGGAACTTTAGGTTCCCCCGGGCCGTTTTCCCGGTTTCATTCGCACCACCAACAGGAACTCAGAAGTGATGTAAGCCGGTGGACAGAAACGTCATTTAAGCACAGCATTCAACAACGTAAACAACAAAAGGATGGAGGACACCGTGATCGGAGCTGTGTTTTTGATGTATATACTGGGTTTCGTGATAATGGAGTCGGTGTAGCCTACTGTAAACTGTTCCGTGAATAATAAAATGTTGTCTGTTTATCCAGCTTTTTAAAAATGGCGGGTGCCAGCGTTTTCCCACATGCGTTCGGCCAATCAACGTACACTTATGTCACTGGTAGTTCCTATAGCGCGGGTTTATGCTGCCTTCACGTGCTACCGGAAATTTCCTATTTCCCACTTATGAAGTCGTGATTACGAGCTTGTCATATTCAAGTGCTTTAATGTCGGAAAGAATAAAATGTAGCATCCCTTTGGTTGACTATCATAAACATTAACCATGCTACACATGCAGTTTGCTGACAATTCTGGAATTTCGGTCAAATACATGCTTATTTCACTGCTTATAAAACATACAATATGCTTCGAATGATCGTTCATATCTAGCCTAGATGATGCCCCACTCTCACACTAAAGCATTTGCAAGTTCTGGGTATGTGTTCTGGCATTACAAGGATGATCCCCTGTCCTTCCTGTAGCTACTTCTTAGGCCTCCTTACATTACGGACATTGCAGTTTATTGCTTTGGCCACATCTACAGCAGGACTATGGCATGTTTACACAGGAACTAAAATCTTTCTTCTGGTGTTTTACAGAGTCAAAAGAAAAGTCTCTTTACTGTCCTAAGTTATTGGAACTGTATTGGGAATTTACGACAAGGAAAGTGAGTCGCCAGCTGAGGGTATACAGGGAGAGTGTGTATACAGATGCACCGCTGGCCTATCAGTAGGAAACTCAGTAGCTACTGGCAACTCTATAGTGAATTCCTGCGACCGTAAGCAGCGATAACCACGCTCGTTATAAATTCAAAAATTGCCGCTTCAAGAAGCTTTACGGCAGGGAAATCGAACGTTCATTGGCTCTCGCCTGCTGCGTCACAGATTGCGACATGCCGTGTTTCTGGTGAGGTGTGTTTGAATGAGAAATTGGGATAATAATCTGGATAATATTTTCCGTGATTAACAACTTAAATTCTCTGTGCTCTGTTCCTTACACAAAACTACTGTATTCCGGCAGAGAGGGCTGCAACGCATCGTCATTTGGATTACTTTTGGTTGATATTTTTGCAATAAATAAATTATTGTGATTGCACTTATCTGTCTGTCATGTTTTTCTTTATACTGTACATTTTTTAAAAATAGATAGTTATGGTTAAGTTTAGAGGTAGGAGTGGGATTAGCGACTATAAAAATATCTTTGTAATGCTATATTGTTACTAAAATGGTAATTCGGTCTATTGCGTTTTATATGTTTTTATATTCGCTATAAAATGGGTGGGTTTAGGTTTGGGGGTAGGTTCCAAGGTCTAAAGATCTAAATTGCTTATCAATAAAATTATAAAAACACACTGATACAAATATCTTAATGATATAAGACATTTTGTAAGTTTTTTTAGCTAAAATACGTAGCCATTTTTACGTTTTAAACATTGTAATACGTCCAAATTGTACGTTTCAGCATCGATAATATATCTAATGTGGTGGCAGATCCTTTTCCTATTTAGCTCCCAAACTCTGGAACAATCTACCTAGAGTTGTTCGGGAGGCAGACACACTGTCAGTTTAAATCTCGATTAAAGACCCATCTCTTTAACTTGGCATACACCTAATACTATTTCTATAATTCAAATCCGTTAAAGGATTGTTAGGCTGCATTAATTAGGTCAACTGGAACCAGGAACATTTCCCATAACACCCGATGTACTTGTTACATCATAAGAAGAATGGCATCCACACTAATACTAGTTTGTTTCATTTTTATTCTGAGGTCACCGTAGCCACAGATTCCAGTCTGTATCCAGCCCAGATGGTGGATCAGCACCTAGAGATGACCTCTACAGCCCTGAATGTCCGTGGAAACCAGGACAACTAGATGAGCCCCAGAGACAGATCCCCAGTAAAGACCTTGTCTCCTAGACGGCCACTGCGACAAGACCATGAGAACCAGAACCTCTGCACAATCTGACTTGTGCTGCAGCCTGGAATTAAACCACATCATGCTGGTTTCGTCTGGCCAGAGGAGAACTGGCCCCCT